AAATGGTGCTTCTGCAAGTGACTCCCTTTTCATCATCTGCTAGAACACATATAAGGATGTCATGCTAATAATTTGATTTTTCTTTTTCCCACTTTTATCTCATTCTGTCATGATGTTTCCTCCTGTCGCTGTTGAGGCTTGGAGCTCAACTGATGGCGTAGGCATGAGTTATTCTTGGAGATGCGCTTCTAAAAGTGAATATTTGATCGATTTTGCATTATTGCAAAGAGTAGGATTCGAGTAGAGTTTCCTTGAGGTGTTTGTTAGATATACTAGAGTGGGATGGTTGCCATGGTTAGGTATTTTCACTGTTCTTTCTGTTTGGAGCTCTGGAAGTGAAACCTTAGTAAACCCTATACATTGAGGATCATCGGATGATTTTAACCTGCAAGGGTTATTAATAGTTTATCTAAGATAGTGAGATATTTGGCCGTAGTGTTACAGTGTTCCGTTCCTTCTCCTAATTCCTGGCACGTCTCTCTCTGACACGGACTTTACTTAGGTTTTAGCATTTTGTTGAGAAATCATAGTTCAAGTAGCATGAGATTTTAGGCTTATTTTTTATAGTATTGAAGTATTCTTAAGTGAATTTTTTGAAGAGTATACTTCTAAGTGCAAATCACAAAGCGCAAAACATGGTTTCAGTCGATCAAGGTTTTGGTCCGTAGGCTGTACAGACATTGCTTCCTACACTTTGGTAGCTGACAAATAAGGCTTTGTGCTAGGTCCTCGAAGTACTATTTTAGTAGTTATGGGGAGTGTTCCATGTGCACAGCTATGAATTTTGTATAGTTGTCTGCTGAAATATAATTATCAATTTATCTGAACTTAAAATTTTGCTGATATGGTTAGGTACTTGCTTTCTTTTATGAGATGCAATTACTACCTTCCATATGCAAGAGCATGAATTAGGTAGTCTTTTATGAAGAAACCTATTACCTACTTAATTTAATACATGTGATTCTCCTGCAAATGGAATGGGCTTCTGTTGTAGCATGTATTATCTATTTCTATGTATGGTGTTTAGGAGACTATAAGTCAGGTACAATGGACTAATCTGAAATACTCAACTTCACCGAGGAGATATTTTCTTGTTGCTGATTTAATTTTATGGCTGTGTACTTTCTCTAGTTTTTAAGACGGAGTTTGTTTTGACAAGATATTTAGTCAATGCTTGAAAAACTTTCTTTCTAAAGATTTAATTTGGTCTATCCTTTCTTTGTCTCTATATTTCTTTACCACAACCCCTTCTATATTTTTTTTGTCTCTATATTTCTTTCTAAAGATTTACTTTGGTATATCATCTTTCTCTAATTCTGTTTCACTGAAAGCTCCTCAATTTCTGGAGAGGAATTCCAACTTCTTTCTTCAAAAATGAAATAAATTGTTGGCTAATCTAGTATACTCATATCTGCTATAATTAGATTGTCGGCTAGTCTAGGATACTCATATCTGCTATAATTAGATTGTCGGCTAGTCTAGGATACTCATATCTGCTCTTGTATATTTCTTGCATGTCACCCTCAGTTTTGTTTATTGAATATCTTTTTTATGTTAAAAGACACATGTTCTTTGTTTCTCGCCTATTTGTCATCTTTCTGTTTAGCTGAAAGCCTGAAAACACTTCAATCTCTGTAAAAGAAATTCAAACTTTTTCCAGAAAAGATTATCGGCTAGTTTGGCAGACTTAAATTTTTCCTTCAATATAGCTGGCTTCTGTCAGTTTCCTCTATAAATGTCTACACTAGTATCTTTAGCGTAGATGTATCTCCTTCAGAAATTCTTGGAAGTAATAGGCTTTAAATCTCAAATTACACTATTGTTGTGACCATATGGGTGTGCTGTTTTTGCGAACTTTTCGAGCCTACTATTCACTATGTTGTGAATTCAGTTATCCTATGTCAACTCTCTATGAATTATTACGTTCTGTTATCAGCTTTATTCACACTGCGAAATTCATTAAGGACATGCCTTATATGGATATTAGACTTCAGCTGATTCATGCTGTTTGTACATCTGACAATAAGCATATTTAGGTTATCACAGCCTATAATGATTACTCGTAAAGCGTCTGTCGTTGGTGCACAATGTCAGTACATTGTTTTTATTTTGATGCAGTAGCATTTGAGTGCTCTATTTGGTCAAGGTTTCAGTTTCTATCAGAAAACTAGTGATTTTCTTAATCTCCTTGAGCGAAGCAATTTTTCTACAATATTTGAAATTGAAGGTTTGCGAGGATGGGTGGGATCTTATTGGGCATGGTGAGGATGTCATAATGTCCTGTTCCAAAGCGTTTACTGTAGTTATGTATATCATGTAGCTGAAGCAGTTTGTTTCAGTTCTGATAGTTCTCGGGTGTGATAGCTGCATTAGCCGGTTCAATCCTACTTTTAGATCATTATCTATATTCCTTTTGAGCTTAGGAAGAAATGTGAAATGAGAATGGAAACTAGATCTGATTCACTTTTATAACTAATGAGGACAAGAGGTAGGCCTTAAGAGAGTTCGAAAGCAATTAAAAAAATGATAATAGTGAAATAATGGAGGAGCTAACCCCTAATATAACTGAATGGAGAATAGGATCCCTTAATATAACCGAATGGAGAGTGAAAATCATATCAGTCGGCCCTGTATGGTGCAGGGTGTTCGGCGCCAAGTGTTACAGTAGGAGGGCCAATTTGGTAAATTCACTGCCCCCTGTTTGCCACAAATGAACCTAGTACCGTGCGGGGTTATGATAGAATTCCCACTCCTGAATGGAAGAATAAGAGTTACGTTTGGGATAATCGTTGGCGTTGCTGCTGCTGTTAATACTATCTTGAGCACCTTTTAGGATGCAGGAATTCTCATCTATTGTACTTACCTTGTTATTGAATCCTATATACTGCAGCAATCAATTAAATACACGTTGATCAGGATCTGTGTTCTTTTTCTTTTTCTTTTTTCAGTTAACGTTTTTGGCAAATATTCGTTCCAACATACTGGTTCAAACATTTGTGTCCAAATATTCGTTTTACGCACTCGACCACAATGGGAAGAAAGACTGGTCAGTGCCAGAAAACTATGACCATCGTGCTTGCCTTCTTTTATAACTTGCGAATGTTTTGGGCACGGCGCACCAATTGCCAGGTTCGATTGCAGTTGATAAAATTAGATGACGTTGTGGGCTATGTGAGCTTGGGGTACCCATTCGGGCTAACAGCATCCATCCTTTTCGGGCGACATCATGAAGCCATTTTAAAGTCGACGAAGCCAAAGCTCTTTGTCATGGGGACAAAAGATGTGTTCACCAGCGTAAAACAGTTTAAGAACAAGCTCAAATCTGCATCTGGCCGTGTTGAAACCCATCTCCTTGAAGGAACGACTCACTTTCAAATGGAAGGGCCTGCTTATGATGCCAAAATGGCTGATCTTATTACCACTTTCGTTCAATCATTGCAAGGATAGAAAAAAAAGGCTGCTATCAATGTTACATTTCCTCTAATGTTTGTCTCTATATGTTGTACCGATACAAATTTAACATTTCCTTGGTTGCGCAAGTCTGTTTGTTTACAACAATTGAATTCTACACACGCACTATCTGTTGACTGAATAATTTTACAGATGTATACTTAATGGGGATTGTAGTACGCTCAAAACCCCTCTAATATCCTGAACATGCTAAACCAAAAAGTACAATGGAGATCTATAGCGCGACAAGGTTCGTCTAGAAATTGTAGTTAAAATGTGACGATCAATGAAATATTGGTATTCCATAGCCGTCACCGACTTGCTAGTAACCACCAGCAACCATTTGATCCTGATAGTTAGCTCCATGTTGATTCCACTGCCGATGTTCCCCTTCTGCTTCATGGAAAAGATTGGATTAACAAAAATCATTTAAGCAATTGCAAAAACCATCTTCAATGTCCGAATAACTAACAATCTATGGAGTTCAGCAAAAGGTCAATCTTTCTTTCCTTGGATAGTCTCTAGGGCCTTTGGATTAAAGAAAGACTCAAGACTAAATTTCACTATTTCGACAATTAATCATTGCTAACAGACTTTAGAAAAACACTAACAGTCAATTAGCAGTCGCTTCTTAGCATGGTTATCTGCCGAATACGACCCACCATCGGTTAGGAGAAATTGTCATTTCATTGAGAGAATGCAGCAACTCCAGAAGGAGGTGGGCCTTGGATTTATATATAATTGCAAATGTCTAATGATACAGAGTCCGCACAAATATTTAGGAAACATTATAGAGGCAGAAATGAACAAAGCAGGCCTATGTGTATTTACCACTTTCGCCATCAGACGCATCATTAAGCCTGGCAATTGCATCAATAAGTGCCTGCTCATGCTCCTAGGAGGGTAGGGGGAAAAGTTTCAAAGCTGGGCACAAAAACTTAGACATTTCATGGAATGACAGGAAAGGAATTAATCGTACTTTGAGTGTCTTCTTTGCGTTCTCAACTTCATGAGGATCAGGATGACTTGCAGCAAATACCTTCTCCACCTGCATACAATAATAAAATAGTGAATCTGATACGTTTAAATGAAGCATAAGAAAACTGTCAATTTAACAGGTTGACAACTCTCCAGGTGCAGCACACAACCAGCTGGTATCCACAGGTCCCAATCTATCTTCTAAATAATTGTCTACTACAATATTCTCTGTTCTCCTTATACCAACATCCAATATTTCTTTTCTGTGGTGAAGCCATGAAAGATGTTCATTAGACTAACAGCCCTAGGGTACAAAATAATAAGCTCTAGTATTTTAATCACATTAACCTGCGGGTGGAGGGAGGGCTAAATTGGTCTTAAATTTAAGCTATCAAGCGAGACATACCTCTGTTATTAGAGTTTCTGTGTGGAGTATCTCAATGTCGTCAGAATTCTTCTTCACGAGGCCATTCATTGGAGCCAAATCTTTATTGGATTGACTCTTCAGGGAACCTCTAACCCTTCCTGCACCTGGAACGGCGCCACTTTGGCCCAAAGGCTTCTTTATCCCAGCACCTGAGCGCCAAGATATACCAGGATCTTCACCTTCCCATCGAATATCTTCAGGGGAAATCTGATAGCACAAGGAGAAGTTATTAGACAACGAGTCCCAACACTACATGTTAGCCTTTTTTTAGTCGGCCCAAACGAGCATCTAATATTCTGCACCACTATACCATCAAACTATTTCGAACTATATAGTAATAAAAGCAGCACAGTTCATTATCAGAATTAGCATATAGGTATGTTAAATTCAGGAACATGCCGATGCTGAGCTGGACGCTACATGGACAGAGTTGAAGGTAGGAAGGATGCAGACTTTAGTTGACGTGTTTTGAAAGATAACTGATAACTGTGTCAAACGGCTTCAGAAAGTGTTAGTGGAGGCTCATTGAAAAACTACTATGCATATATGCATATCACCTTTGTACTTGTCACTGTATCCTCAATGGTGTCATTTCACCAAAAACTAGAACTCCAATTTAAAAGCAAGCTAGTCGTCATGAAAGTAATCTTCATCTAACAACTCCGTCTTTCATAACCACCTTAACGTCTTGAGAGAAATTTTCAATAAAAATAACATTAACAAACAATCCACAAATGTGTATGTATTCAGGATGACAGGTCGAAGTAATCCCAGAGGGGTAAGAAAGAAAACTGACTGTCAGGAAATGATAATGAAGCTATTGTTATTTTCTCAATACACATTTCCCTCTTGTTTTTATCCATGTGGGGTCAAGTGATTCTTAAGGGACATTTGCAAAAGTTTCACCACTAGGGTTTGCACAGTTCTGTGCTTTTGGATGGCAAATTGACATGTAAGATCCTTAGTAGGCGGCCCAGATTGTTGGACATCTATACCAACTTCCAGCCAGTTCACATCACATCTTACCGCGAGGATTTCTATCATCTTGTAGAAATTGAGAATGATGCCAATGCTATCCAAATACCAGTTCATGAAGTTACTGACAACAAAGCTTCCAGTTTGGATAGGCAAGTTTATTCATGACAAAACACTCAGCTTAGTACTAGTATATTACCTGGGTAAGTAAATTAATGAGTGAGAATAGTCAGGCTACAGTATAAAAATTAAAACACTACATATAGTCAATAAACATGAAAGGATCAATTGTTGGCAAGGTTAGTGAGGTCAAGGAAATTGGTGGATCACAAATAAGTAAATAACTTTTTGTGCTCACTAAACTGTACCTCTAGCTTCTTGTGGTTTTTACTTTAAGGCACTCAAAGAAGTTAAATCAATCACATGCTACCTCAGGATTTTCGTACTTTTAACATTCAAAAAATATTAATTAATTTAATTTAATAGTTTGTAATATGAGATAGACTTGGCATTCCAGAAGGATTTAAAGCCTAACCTTTTTCATTCAAATTCGACCTTAGGACATTCCAAAAAATCTGCTCAGATGAAGGTACCATTTAAATCATTTAATTAAAAAAAGTTAAAATGTTTTTTTTTGCCAATACAAGAACTACGGACGCACCAAGTGAATGGTAAAAACTAACTATTAGCTAGATTCGTTACAAATTTATAATATGACTATTGTATTGTGGTATACTCTCACATACAGACACTTCATCACTAACTTTTGTACGGTTCACATTCTAGACACTACAACTAAGCAACTTAGCAACAAGCTACTTAGTCCTTCTCTTTTGTGGCTACTTGATGCAGGAGCAAGAAAAAAATTTCTAAATCTTGGTTTTAGTCTTTTGGACACTACAAATCATGCAGATCAGTTTTTCAGCTTAGGTCTTTAAATTGGATATGCTATCACTGAATTTGAAGAGAGAGTATTGGTCCCAAACTTTCCAGAAGTAATCAACTCCATCTCATGAGATATTTATTATACATAGGCAACTTATTTAGTCAAACAAATAATAATGGGAACTAACATCATTAGATGGCAGCAAGATTGCAATATTGTATTAAACTAAGTGTTTTACCCACTATAAGAGGCAAATTAAATACTGTCGCAGGACACCATACAATTGTGTGATCAATCACCCACCTTCTTATTCTCTTTTGTGATTCACTAACACTAGCTTGGTTATGGACTCAAAAGGCTCTGCTGACCTGGCTCAACAATTTGTGATATTGACCTATCATTCAGAATAACTTCTGATAATATTCTTCTTCCAAGAAACCTACTAAAATATACTAATTAATTTGAGGATTAATTTGAGGTGATGCATAATGATTTTGGATATATTCTTCTTGCAAGAAACCTAATTAGCATCCCTCTTCACTAAAATCTAGTCAACCTGACTTGAGGTGCATTCAAATGGATATGATGAATCTAGAAGCTAATTGCTTCACATCCATTGCCTTTCTGTAAATAGGGACTCAAAATGCGCACATGCGTGTGTGTGAACATTAGTAAATATATGGTAAATTCGTAATAGAGGTTTAGGTCTACATTCAGGAGCCAAAACTGAAGAGTTACAATTGTATATGTTTTATCACCCTTAGAAATCAGCAGAAATGATTTGCATCAATTTACAAAATAAATCTAGCTCATTATGTTTCACTAAAAATAACAACATAATTATGAAGTGGCCATGGAGGGAGACAATGGAGTAGAAAAGGAAGTAAATTTGATATGCTATTCTATCACCTAGTATTCTCTGCATCAATGCAGCAAGTCAGATAAAACTGAACAAATTTGGGTACATGCAAAACAGACAAGAAAAAGAACCAAATTTATAACTGCACTGTCCAAAATAATTGATTGACAAACATTGTGAATGAAGGGAATGAAAAGCAAAATGTACTAATTTGTATATGGAAAAGATAGAATTACGTCACCTCTTTGAGATTGACCCATTCCCATGTCTCGTTCGTCGTGTTGATGTCGTAAACAAGAGCATGACGACCCTGACAATGATTGAAGTGGTACAATAGGGTAGATACCAAGCTCAGATTTATGGTACTTATTCAAAACATGACAACACATACCTCAAGTGCATTGTAGTCAGTGATAACAGCCTCATAGAAGTTATTGTCTTCTGGCCATCTGGTCCATACTTTCCTCCCAATGAGTGGATTGTATACTGGGGCTGCAGCAGGTTCTGTAGAAGCAAGTGCAACGGAAGAATTTCTATTAGTCACCTGTCCCTTTCCACTTGGTCCAAGAGAAGGGATCTGCAAGGACTTCATTGTTGATACACCTGTCAATGTCTGACCCTTTGGGTCATGAAGAAAGCGAGAGGAAGATATAAAATGAAGGGAGAAACGGGAAGTGAAGGATCCAAAAACAATCAAACATAAAAGTTCTGTATCACTGACATACAGATTTAGACTTCTTTCCCTTGGAACCTAACGGAGCTCCTCTTGTTGCCACAGAAGATGATGGTGCAGTAACTGTTTGTGTGTGCATCACAGAGGCGGGCGCATCAAGAGATAGAGAAGGAATTGACTGGGATGTCTTTTGCCTCTTCCGAGAGGCTGAAATAGTGGGGCTAGGTATGGAATCATGAGCATGCTGAGCATTATTTAGCAATCCAGATTGCGGACCACCTCCCTGCCGCCACTCCCTAATGATATATATTCCCAACAATTAGACGAGAAGAAGCACAGAAACTTAATAGACACAATTTTGTTCTAGCGGACCTTATTCTCCTTATGATATCATCTGCATTAACTCTAGTTAACAATTCTCTATGTTCCTTGTCAGATACTCTCAGCTCTTTCCTAAGTTCTGTTATTAGACTTTCCTTCTCCTGCAGAGATTTATTTTGACAGGATCCAACAGTATATCAATATTGACAGGAATCTAAAAAACCAAAGCAACAGCGAAAATTTTAAATTTAGGTAATTATATGCAAATGAATACCCAAGTAATTGCATCAGATTGTGCTTTAAATGCCCTAAGAACTGAACTGTAAGCTTCTTGTTCAAGCCAATGTATTTGGGTCTCCATATCATTCTGTCCAATGGGATATGGAAGAGCACCACCAGCTGATCTTCCATTCCCTGTAATACGTCCTCCTCTTGTATCCCTGTTCTGATGTGATGGTGGAAGATCATCATCGGTTTCTGCAATCGCAACTCAAGGACAAACCAGTAAGAACGTGTTCTATAGATTTCAAAGAACGAGAAGGGACTAACAATGTACAGAAAGTACAGTTAACATGATCTCGATTCTGAGGATAGAGGATATTATATTATGAAAATAGTAGGTGATTCCATATTCAAAGGTGATTCCTTTGTGGTGTATCTACAATTTGTACTTTTTCGTGTGTGTGATATAAGGATATCAGTTCATAACAATGTGATAGCAAGGGATGCAATAAAAAGTTTGGATCAAGCCCGTGCTGAACCTACTTAGCCCATGAGCAGCACAATCATTCTTCGCAGGATGTTACCACATCAGCCCCATGGTATGTTGTCATTTCAAGCCTCAAACCAGACTAATTATTCATGTGAAAACACAGAGTTCAAATAGTCATTCATCTAACCAAGTATCCATATCATGAAGACACAGTTACAGTAGAAGGGCACACAAAGAAATAGATACTATACAGTGAATGGAATATCAAAATAGGAAGGTGGTCCACTTATCTTGTTGACTGGCATTCAAGTGTTATTTTCTCCAATTAAACATAAGTCTTTGAATATTGTTAGCCACTGTTGTTTGAAGTTCTAATATGTATGTACCTAAGGAACTTGTTTAAGCATCCACAAAAAGCTTTTAGCTTAAATATATCCATGAGTGCAGAGAAGTGAATAAAAAGCAAAATATAATGGTTAAGAATAGAATTACACAGAAAAGACGTGATAATACTGTTCAAACCAAGCAAAACCTGTCAGCATGTGTAGGGATATACCCCTTGATCTATGAACTGACCTTGCCAAAGTATAAATACATGACAAGAATGAGAGAGATATAGATCAGGCCGGCCGGCCCATTACTAGCCTGAAACCAGAGTAGAACCCAACACATCAGAGTGTTAAATTGCACAGGTGGAGGATCATGCAAGGGCAAGTCAATTAGGAATGTCAATGTACCAAGTATAGCTATCAGATGTTATTAGATAACTAGAATTGCAGGTTCCGAGGTGTGAAGGGGGAGAGAAGAGATGTCATAATTGGGGTTTTGAATAAGACGACCTTTGCATTTTTGATTTTTCTCTTTTTTCTATTTAAAAAGTAAAATAAGAGGTGTTAAGCTTTTTTTTTATCATTCTGGGGTCGAGCTATTTTTTCCGCAGGACCTCCCCTACAGTATCGTACCGCAGTAGAGTTTAACCACCAAGTTCGGGATGGATTGGTGTGGTTCCTCTACGCCTAGGACACCAGAATATCGAATCATGAACGAAGAAAGGCATGAGAGAAAAGCATATTGGCTAGTGATTGTGAGACCCCAATTCTTGACTGGAAGGGACACCAAAGGCCTCTTCCCTCCCTTGGATAGATAGGGAAGGGCAGAGGCCTTTGGTTTTTCATGTTGTCAAACAGTTGAACAATGAAAATAGATGGCGAGTGCCGCCCCCGATAGAATGAGTCAGGTCGTTTAGGACAAGGTTAACAAAGGGTTGGAAAAGTGAATAGGAACAAAAGAAAGCCTTTAGTAAATTATAACAGGAATTCTAGATAATCTGTCAGCTGTAACTCCTAAGCTCTTGTGTTGGCACAAAAAGCATGATTAAATGACATCAATAGCATAACAGAAATTGCAATTTTATGGGATGAGGTCAGCTGTATGGTGTTTACCTACGTTAAAGGGCTGTTCGGTTTGCTGCAAAAATAGATTGTAGCAAATGTTGCAGCAACTAATGTTGCAGGATATCAACTTCAACTTTGATGTTTGGATATATGCAATTACATTGTAGGAAACGTATTTCCAAATGCAAGTTTTAGTGTTTGGTTGAATAACTATTAGGCGAAAGCTACAAAATTTTGCCATATTCGGAAACCTCCGTGTAGATAGTTTTCCTATTTGGATTCAGAAAGATTTTTTTGATGAGGTTGAATAATTTTTATTTTTTAATTTTACGCATGCAGCTTTTCCTCCTACCAAATTGGTTATAACATTTATTGCAAGTTTTTTCTATATAATAATGCAAGTTTATTTACCTTTTGTAATTACAAAGTTATAAACCAAACAATGTATTTATAAATCTCGGTTGCTCTATTTATATTTGCAACTCTGTTTCCCCAACAAAACCGCCCTTAAAAGGTATAATGATTGATTAATATGTCATCTTCATTTGCACTATTCTAATAAACGGATTATGCGTCCGGTTGCTTGCTCAATTACTCCAATGTGGGCTGAAACTTATTAGGTTTCAGGTAAAGAGCTCCATTATGCAGTTGTCCACTTATGCAAGCGCCTTTTAGTTATGCGCCTACATAAAAAATTTAGGGTCTTTTCCTAAAAACAACCTTATATTTAAGGGCAAGTTACACAAACCACCTTATATTTTCAATTTATACTTAAACCACCAATCAAGATAATTTGTCTTCCATCAACAACCTGACCTCACTTTGCTATTAAAATTTAAAATTCCCTAAAATCCCAACAATAACTACACTTAATCTCTTGTAAAGGCATGTGATCTCTCTTGTTATTCTTTGCAAGCTTGCACACTAGATTGGGTGAGGTATTGTGGGAATTTCTGGACACTTTTAGCAGCAAAGTAGGGTCAGGAAGTTGATTAGAAGAAAAACTATGTAAATGGGCTAGATATAAATTGAAAATATAAGATGATTTGTGTAACTTGACCCTAAATATAAGGCAGTTTTCAGAGGAAAAACTCAAAATTTTATGCGGGTCCTTTATTTTTTAAAACACTTTGGGATAAAACCCACTAAAGTCATATCCGACTCGCTTAACCTCTTTAAACAAAAAAACTCTAGTCCTAAACTCCTCCCTAAACCTGATCTCCCCCCCCCCTCTAATCATTCCCAAAACCACAACATTTGAGTGGTTGTGCATCTTCTCAACCCTCACCTACCATCGTCAACGCTTGTGGATGATCTTCAACATTCTCCGACTCTTCACGAAGTTCTCAGACGAAGTCTTTTCCCCACGAAGTTCTCAGACGAAGTCTTTTCCCCACGAAGATCTCAGACGAAGCTTTTTTCCCTAACAAAGCAATTAATGATTTGTTTCCAGCTCATGAACTTTTAGCTTTAGATCAAGTGTTTAATTTAACGACTTTTATTCGAGTACCTAGTTAAATATCATGTATGGATTGACCTTTTAAGTAGTTATCTAGTTATTAATTGTTCAATTGCATGTTTGTTAGTCTTTTTCTTAGTATATTTTCTATTTTTAAAATTTTCATATATTTTAATATATGATAAACAATAAATATATGTTAAAAATTCAAAAATATATAATTCCGCATAATCCAATTAATCGACGCATAATTTGATTATTCTTTACTCGTTCTCCGACCGCACAATAATAAAACCGTGTTTTTGAACATTGATCACCTGCACAGCTAGAGCTGACATTGTCATAAAATCCCCTTAAAGCTCTGCCTGTTTTAGCCAAAGCAACTTGCTAACGCTCCGTTACAAGGGTTCTACCATAAAGCCCCTAAGAAAGAAGATTTAAAGGTTTGAAGCTCCACTTAGAGGCTTCACACCAACTTTAATAAGTTTTTTTGTAGGTCTGAGTAGGACAAATTCCGTGTGCCCTTTATTCAATGCGCTAACTTCCATTTCACTTAAATGGCTACCCTCTAGTTTCCACCTTTGTCACTTCTGTATAATCCTAATAATAGTCAATGAAATGGTGTAACAAACTTCTTAGCTTTAATCACATTTAAAGTTATAAAAGTTATAAAATGTTGTGTTTTTTCATGAGAACCACCTTAAATATAGGTGAAATCGATACAATCCACCTTTATTTATTTATTTTATACAAACCACCTTATATATGTGTTATCCCCTTAATGTCACACTTTTGGGTAATTTCTGTGTTAAAAATATGAAATTACTATAATACCCCTCAGTCTAACCAAATAACAAAAAGAGAGGAGGAGAGGGGGGAAGGGAGTTGATCGGGTGGATAGAATGAGAGGAGGGAAGGAGGTTGGCGCTTGCGGTGAGATTAGAGAGAGGAGGAGGAGGAGGGAAGGAGGAGGAAGATGAGGAGAAGAAGGAAGAAGTGAGAAAAGTGGGAATGGAGGAGGTGAAAGGAAATAGGAGGTGAAGGGGGGGGAGAGGAGGAGGAAGAAGAGGAGATTGAGAGGAGAATGAAGGAATGAGGTGGGGGGAGGGGAAGAGGGGAGGTAGAGGGATGGAGGGAACGAGGAAGATGAAGAAGACGGAGGTAAAATGGGTATTTAAAAAATGGGCTAAATAGTGACGGAGACATGACATTGAGAGGATAACACATATATAAGGTAGTTTGTAAAAAAATATATTAAAGGTGGTTTGTATCAATTTCACCTATATTTAAGGTGGCTCCCATGAAAAAACCCTTAAATGCTTGATTCATCGTCTTCAGAAGAGCCAAGTGTACTTACTGCTTATGAACTCAAAAAAGAAAGAAAAGAACTTCAATCTTCTTCACTTCAAAATTGGTTTTTAGTCTAAAATAACAGTCCACAATTAGGCATCTCGTATTTTAGTCACATGTTTACATTTTCTATGACATCTATTCTAGATACATCATAAGTCCTTGTATAGTTTTCATATCTTTCTTCACTATTTAATTCTTGCATAAATTACTAGTTACCCTATAGAGTAATAGAACTAGCAAAACGTGATATGCTAATTGTTGTCTTAGTCTCTGAATTACCTTTACTGGACCTCATGTTAATGACAAATTTATAATCTGTCTTAAGATGCTTTGGTACATATTTAATTATTGACTTCTTCATATCATCTTCTTTTTACAATTTTCTGATTCTAATTTTTATATAAAAATACAATTGGTGCTTCTTATTGTTAAAGCCTACCAAAACCCTAACACTTGTCCTTCCCTGCTCCGCTTCACTTCAATAATCATGAAAACGAGAAACATCAAGGCATAATATGCCTAAGCCAAATAATTGATTAGATGTCCCTCGCTACTTTGC